GTCGCTCTTCGTTGCCATTAATTGCAACACCCTCGTAGTTCAAACTCGGGCGCTGAGGCTCGCCTTCGCCCTCCTCCCCGCCCCGCCCGTCTCGGACCAATCGGGAACGTGCGCACGTGACGAGCGTTGGCTGCGATGACCTCATCCCTGGTGTGGGATGACGTCAAATTCAAGATGGATGGAATCACGGCGGTGGTGGCGGCAGCGCGCGCGGGCGAATCGTAAAAGAAGACGGCCGAAGGGAGTTGGAAAAGGGGTGCCTGTTCAGCACTGGAAAAGGTGAGTAATGAGTCCCGATTATTGCTCCTTTAAGGCGAGCCTCCTGCTGGAAGAAGGCGCAAGTTTCCCTTTGCACAAAGGCGTCTTTTCCTGACGTAACTCTGAGGTATATTTTTCCCCCACCGTGCAGGGCTGCGGTCCGAACCTGGCATGTGCGCCTGCGCCAATTACAAAAGGGGGTTCCCACCCCTTTACAGCGCATGCGTTGGTCTCCGTCGTCTCGCTTGCAATGTAGAGCGCGCATGCCTGGGAGTTCCGCAGGCTGCCTAATGCGCATGTGCGCTGCCCATTCCTAGCGTGTGGTTCCTTTTCCTCACATCGCCGGTGCTTTGCCCTTTCAGATAGGGATATTTGCGCACGCGCTAGACTAGGGATTATTTCTATGAGTGGGGCTATGGGGGCCTTGTGAGCGTGCGCAGGGAAATGGGTGTGGTGGACTGCTTTATGATGTCATTTTGGGCAAAGGCAGCGAGAAGAGGGGGAAGGGAGGTCTAGGTTTAAGGAGAGAGCAGTTAATATGTTACTCCCCACATTGTTCTTCCCCTTAATAAATTACAGGGATTCCTGGATTTGGTTGGGTAGGCTCAGAAACTGTCAGCTTCTAGTGTGCAAAAACTAGTTCTGAATTCTGAAGGCCAGTATCTTGTTGCTATTTTCAACAGGAATAAATACAGTGGCTGTGAGGCATTTGCAGAACTGTTGACATTTAATAATGCTTTAAAATTGATGTTTCAGGCCAACTGAAAACCTGGCTATTTAGGCAAGCCTTCCGTCCAGCCATTTCTTGATTTATTTTGTTCTTTCATCTTGAGTTCTTGTCTATTGATGTATTACTTGTTCTATATTTTAAATTGTTTATTTTATGTGTTGTTAGCCACCCAGAGTAGTCAGTTGACTAAATGGGTGGAGTACAAATTCAATAAATAAATAAATAAATGGGTCTATTCTATAGTTCAGCTCAACCGTAGGATGCTGGTCTAAGAGACTTCTCTCCTGGTTGTAATGTGGATGTGCATCGAGCTGATTCTGGTTATGGGAGAGGGAGCCATTATATACTCTGTGCCTGGCCAAATGCACTTAGTTCTTGGTTTTAACACATTGAGATTTCTAGCAGTAGCTCTTTGTGCTGAAAATAGTTCTAGCAGTTTATGTGAAGATCTGGAATTAGCACAAGTTGTCCTGAGTTGATTTTAGTATGTATAGAGGGTATTGTCAGACTTAAGTGTAAAATGTGTCTTTTCTGAGGCTATATGTGTTTATTTGGAAGGCACAATAAATCAAGTGGTTTTAGCTTCGTTGCATGCTAAAATATGATAAAACATGAAGTAAATACAACAGGCCAGTTCTTGAAATGTAAACTGGTTCTAAAAACTGGAAAGGCATAGATTTTCCATGGGCAAGCTAATTATAATAGCAATATACCAAGTTGTTTTTGATTTATGGTGACCCTTTTCAAGTTTTTCCAAGTACCGTACAAAGTACTTGAAAATAGTTTACCATTCTTCTAGGGGTGCTCTAGAACTGTGTAGCTTCTCATAATCCACACAAGCTGGCTTTTCTATACGATGGTGGTGGTTGTTAATTCGTGTCTGGCTCTTTGTGACCCCATGGACCAGACCACGCCAGGCCCTTCTATTTTCCAGTGCCTCCGGGAGTTTGGTCAAATTCATGTTGGTAGCTTCGATTACACTGTCCAACCATCTTCACGCTTTCCCAACATCAGGGTCTTTTCTAGGATGTTGTGTTCTATCTTATCTAAAACACAGCGTCTTTGGACTGCAACACAGAGACTTCCTCAGCCACCATGGTTGGTCAAAGTATTTCTATTCTGGGGTGGAGGGAGTAATAAAGAGAGGCCATTACGTGCACATTTTTAATCTGGGTAAAGGTGGGCATATTTGCTAACAACTGTATTGCAGATGTGGGATCTCTACACACAGTGTATGAGGACAAGGTAATCAACAGTCTTCATTTATGGTACAGATCTCTTATTTTGATAGAGAACTTGGATTAGAACATTAAGAAAATTGAAGGCTGTGTGCATCAGTACTACTTAACTACTTGTGGTAGCTAAGATCAAAATGAAGCCACTAGTTTCTAGTCAAACAGGGCCAGAAAACATATTTAGGTATTCAAGAGTGTGACCTGTTCACATAGAATGCTTAATTTTCCTTGCCAGTTTTCAGGAAGAGAGTTGAAACTACACCTTAAATTGCTATAATTCTCACTGTGGTCATCAGTCATGCATGGATATGAACACAAATTGCCAGTTCAGTCGTTTGTGCTGGTTCATTCTTTTGACAAATATGTGTTAAACGGTTAACGGCCCCACGTTCTCTGGCGGGCACCCATTCAGAGGCAGTTTTCCTGCACCTCCTCCTCTGGGTACTGCTTCTGAGTGAGCACTACCATAGGAGGTGAGGCTGGGAACCACTGAACACCTGTTTGTCTGAAGGATGAACCAACACAAACTGGTAGTTCGTGCTTATCTGTAACTACCCACTCCTCTTTGTCATCAACATCACCTTCTTTCTTGTCTAAAAAGCCCACTTTTTGCCATATGATATAGCACTGAATTGGTATAACAGCTTGTAAAACTGCAGTGGTTGTCTGCAAAGTGCCATACTGGAAAAGAATAATTAAAACACACAAAAAAAGAGGCGTGCACTTGAAGGAGGGTGTTCTGACAACACAAGATGGGAAATCCTTCAGCTGAGTGCAGTATGCCAGTACAGTGGGCCCAGCAAGTGAATGCCTCTTGTCTCTTCTTCAAAAAATCTTTAAATTATTCTTTTCCAGTTTGGTGCTATGACAGAAGCACTGCAATTTACAATTTATTTTATTTTATTTTGTAAGCCGCCCCGAGCAGACATGGTCTAGAGGGGCGGGGTGAAAATCAAATCAAATAAATAAATAAAATTATATCAATTCAGCACTGTGCCATTTGCCAAGAGTTTTTTTGAAAAAAGGTGCCCCGCCATCAATGTCACTCTAGGAAACACCTGCCACTGCAGCTTTGGACTCATAGATACCACAGACTCACATATACCAAAAATGAAGACACAAATAAAAACCACACGAAAAAAGCAGTATGAGCAGAATTGCGACAAAACAACATTAGCCCCTGTTTTGTTGTTTAGTCATTTCCATCAAAATGGACAGGTTTGTTCTCCTTGCAGTCCAGGGGACTCTCAAGAGTCTCCTCCAGCACCACAATTCAAAAGCATCAATTCTTCGGCAGTCAGCCTTCCTTATGGTCCAGCTCTCACTTCCATACATCACTACAGGAAAAACCATAGCTTTGACTATTCGGACGTTTGTCGGCAAGGTGATGTCTCTGCTTTTTAAGATGCTGTCAAGGTTTGTGTCATTGCTTTCCTCCCAAGAAGCAGGCATCTTTTAATTTTGTGGCTGCTGCTAGCTGAACAAAAAACAGTGAATGCCCATGCAAAAAGACCTGGATTATTCAGGTGTGTAATTGTAGCTGACAAAAAAATACATCAAAGCACACTCAGTTTTATTTGTGTAATGATGTATGCCATCATACTATCCTGGACATTCTCAGTCTCATCTGATTTTGGAAACTAAGAAGGTCTGATTGGAATTTGGATGAGAAACCACCAGGGATCTTAATGCAGGGCCAGTAAAGAATCCTGCATGAAAACCTGGGAGTCATTCAGATTTCAAGTGCTGGGCTAGAAGTACCATGCATATGCACTTCCCATGTAACATCTTTATACTATTGTAAATAAATTCAGAGCATATATCTGCTTTGTAATGGAAGCAGAGGATATCAGTGAATCATATTTCTCAAACAGGTGTGTTCAAGAGATGTGAATGTGCAGATCCTTTGGTATGGCTTTTAATATGTCATCTTTTGCTGTATATGAGAATTTATCGATCAAAGCTTTTACATTATACCACTTGAAGTTGGGAATGGATGAAACAGTTGTCCTTGTGGTATCATTCACATACACAAGGAATAAGAAAGAAATGAGAATTTTATAAATTTTACACTGTGTGTTTATGTCATTCAGTCTTTTCCTGTTCAAATGCAGAAACCTAAAAAGGATTACAGTAGCACCTTGTATAATTGTATCTGCATAAGGATGCTGTAAATTAGACTATTTTCGAAGTTTGTTGTTGTTTGGTCATTAAGTCATGTCCGACTCTTCATGACCACATGGACCAGAGCACACCAGGCCCTCCTGTCTTCCAGTGCCTCCCGGAGTTTGGTCAAATTCATGTTGGTAGCTTCGATGAAGCTACCAACATGAAGCTACCCCTTTCATGGATTGCTGCCGTGTCGTGGTGAAGGGGCTTGAGTAATTCAGAGAAGCTATGGACTATGCCGTGCAGGGACAACCAAGATGGACAGGTCATAGTGGAAAGTTCTGACTAAACCTGATCCACCTGGAGCAGGAACTGGCAGGCCACTCCAGTATCTTTGCCAAGAAAACTTCATGGACACAAACAAAAGGTTAGAAGTTAGGCTTTGTCAAAAGTTTCCAAAAATAGTATACTTTATGAAGTACAACAGTAACATTTACAAAACTGTAACATTGTATGTAAGAAAAATGTATTTTTATTTTATTTATTTATTAGATTTTTACCCCGCCCCTCTAGACTATGTTTACTCGGGGCGGCTTATAATTAAATTAAAATAATTAATTGACGTGTGTCATAATTAAAATAATTATGACACATGTCAATCTATAATCAATAGAACTAACAAATATGTTCAAAAATACTAACTTGAAAGATCTGTTTGTCTAGTTACCCATCTATGTGATGCAGCTATTATTATTGAAACTTAATGTTTAGTGTTTTTTTAAAAAAGTATAACCAGTGTTCTTAACAGTGTTTCAGAAATATAACGATTTAAAAATGCTTATTTTAAGTATTTTAAATATTACTCTGGATCCAGTTCCTGTGTATTGCGGATGAGCATATTTCAGGCTGTAGTGTTTCTTTTCCCAGGTGGTCAGCTGACTCCTTTACCATGCACTGCATATTCTGTCTTAAGTCATTTTTAAAATTTGCTTTAGTTTCAAAATTGGTACACTGCATACAAGGAGTGCTGCTAAAAAGAAGCGCGCACACAGCATCCTTTTAATTGTGCACACTAAATTACACACTGCTTACCCTCTTATGTGTGTGTGTATTCCACCATACAGGTGAAGGTGATGATCAGGAAAAATAAATATTCAGATCACTTGCATGTACCTTGATTTACTTGCATCACAGGATGAAGACTAAAGGTTTCAAGTTATGGGTTAAGGAAGAAAAGGCAGGGGAAGAGTATTTTATATGTTCTAGGAGATTGTTCCTGACATAAAGGGAACAGTGGAGAAAGCATATAGTTATTTAAGTGGGTAGAAACAACTGGATGCAATGTATTTGTGGGGGTCTAATGGTTGTGGGGTTTTTCGGGCTCTTTGGCCATGTTACATGCAAATGGCTACTCCAAAAATGAAATCACAACAGCCATCAAACCAAGAAAACAACACCAAACTGAAGAAGAAAAACAGCCAGCCACAAATAAAGTATTTCTGCCATACATC